GCGGGTGGGGGGGCGGCGGGGTAACTCCCACATTAGGGGAGACCTCCAGATCGTGGGCCCAGGGGGAAGATGTGCCGCTGTCCTCGGTAATAAAACCAAAGGAGGCGACAGCCTGGGGCCGCCCCTTCTCACAGCCTCGCGGCACAAGAGCAGAAAAACCTTCCTGTTAGAGTCCAGGGGTGGGCAACCTTTTTGACTCGAGGGCCACAATGGGTTCTTGAACTGGACCGGAGGCCGGAACAAAAGCATGGATGGAGGGTTTGTGTGAACTAATATAAATTCAAAGTTAACATCATTACATAAAAGGGTACGGTCTTTTTTTTTTTTTTTTTTTAGTTTTATTCATTTCAAACGGGCCGGATCCAGCCCGCAGGCCGTAGTTTGCCCACGGCTGTGTTAGACCCTTGGCCCCACAGTCAGCAGGGAAGGTTCTTTGGGTTTCATTTCCTCTTGTTTTTATGAAGCCCCATAAGAAACGCAGCAGAGTTTAAACATACAATCAAGTGCTTAAAGGCGGGGTGTCCGGGGAATGGGGGGACCAGAGGGCACTGTGTGCCCGTCCTCCTGGCTTCCTCTCTCGGCTGGGATGTCGCTGTCCCAGGAGGCAGTGCCCAGCCCTTCTCCCTCCCAGGTGCCCGAGTTCACGCTCCTCACTGCCTCTGTCCCACGGGGGCAGCCTTAGGCCCCCCCACTCCCACCCCATCCAGGAAGATCCCAGGATTGTGGCTTCCGTCCGATCTTCCCTGGACCTAGGCAGGCACATCGGACAGTTCACCCCGTGGAAGCCACACTGGGTGGATCAGGTTCACCTCCTCTCTCCAATGACGGTGAACCCGCCCTCGGGTCCTGACGTGTCCCCTGTGAGGCCTGACGATGGCCCCCCACCACCCGCAGTGGACAACACGGCTCCGCAATCTCATTCCTGTGACGTCTCCCCCATTTGCTCCAGGACGGGGTCCAGGTGACAGAAAGCGGCAAGTTTCACATCAGCCCTGAGGGGTTCCTGACCATCCACGACGTGGGGACCGCGGACGCCGGCCGTTACGAGTGTGTGGCGCGGAACACCATCGGGCAGGCCTCGGTCAGCATGGTGCTCAGCGTGAGCGGTAGGTGGCCCGGCCCGGTTCCGGTTCCGGTTCCAGCGGCTGGCAGACACCCTCCGCGTGGGTTCAGGCTGCGGGAGGAAGGCGCCGGCTCCCAGCACAAGACCGGGCCGTGGGGGTGTTAGAAGGTGGCGTGTCGCCCTGGCCAGTGTGGCTCCATGGATAGAACGTCGGCCTGCAGACTGAAAGGTCCCAGGTTCGATTCCGGTCAAGGGCATGTACCTGGGTTGCAGGCACATCCCCAGTGGGGGGTGTGCAGGAGGTGGCTGGTCGATGTTTCTCATTGGTATTTCTGACTCTCTATCCCTCTCCCCTCCTCTCTGTGAAAAATCAATAAAATATATTTTTTAAAAAAAGAAGAAGAAGGTGGCGTGTCCACACCCCCAGTTCGCAGAGGCCAGCAGGCGCCCTCGGGAGGTGCAGGGCCCGGCGGCTTGAGCCCCCCCAGCCCCCCGCGTCCTCCTGCCCGCGAGGCCGCTGTGTCTGACGCACTCGGCAGAGCCTCCCTGCCCTTGGTTTGGTGGTGGGTTCAGCGCCATCCAAACCCCTTCAGATCCGACCGTGTCATCATTTGGCAAAACTTCGGAGCTGTTATTGCCACATTCTCACCGCCTAGAGCTCGGGAGACGGGCTGCTCTCTGCTCCCAGGGCGTGAACGCCGAGTGTCCAACACAAGCCTCTTCGTCATCCCTGAAGCAGCGGCCCGTCTCCCTGGGCTCCGGGATTAGAGAATGCCCCCCGGCCAGCCAGTGTGTGACTTGACAGCTACGTTTTTCTGCCGAGGCCCATGGAGATATTTGTCACATCACTCGCAGGCCACACAGAATTATAAGCTTAAAAATGAGCCTGCTGTAATCGGTCGTGTGATTCGCTCAGCCCTAACACCCCTGCAGGGCCAGACCAAATGATTTCTCAGACCTCCTGCAGCCTGTGGGCCAGACACTCTCCACCCCTGGTCTAGAGGGTGTGGCGTGACTTCAAAACTGAAAAGTCTGTGGTTTCCGTTCTGTCTGGAAGCAGCTTCCAGTAGGGCTGGTGATGAAGTGAGTTGAGCTC